AACACCAAATTAAATAGTGTTGATAGGGGCATTAAGCGCATACCATTTCACCATTTATGAAACGCCCACCTAAATACTTTCGTCAAATCCCCCTACTTCCTGCTTCGCTTTCCTTTTGGGGGAGTTTTCCCAAACATACCCGTGTGATCATGGAGATGGTAGTATGCGGAAGCTTGCAAGAGTAGAAGAAGTTCTACATGTAATTTGTGTCAAGGAAGAGAAGAGATATGAATGGAATGCAGTATTTGGCTATCTTAATGACAGATCTATTTCTTCGAGTAGCGGGTAACTACAACCTTTCAAGTAAAAATGAGGTTGAGCATTTTGGCTTTGAGATTCTTTAATTAAGCTTGATGAAAATGGGATTTAGATCAGCTATAGCACATGACAGATTCTAAAATCATAATATCATCTTTGAAAAGTATTTAATTTATCCTTCGGAACATACTTTTGATAAATGAACAATAATTTGTTTTTATACATTCGAGTGTCATGTTGAAATAATATATCATGTAGCAAAAAACTGAGTCAAGACGTTCACGCCCTGAAAGGGTAGCTGTATTGCTCTGTGTATTTGAATTTTGCGCATACACGTCCTTGGTCTGAATCATTAAAAGGGAAAACAAATAAGTTTGATTTTAAAGACGATAAACGTAAAGCAGGTAATATCTGTTTGATTCAGGCTAATAAATATAAAAATATTTCACTTTTTGTCCCCCCCCCCTTCCATCCCCTTTCCCACAGATTATATGAGTCTAGTTACCACGGTTCAAGTCCTCGAGTAGGATACAACGGACCTTACAATGAGCGGGGTACCTACCCGGACACCTACCTCGCCTATCAAGAGTACGTAAATGTGCTTTTCAGTGTTATATTTTTTTTGTTTCTTCCTATTTTGAATCTCTTATACCCTTCGGAATCGTGCGTTTGCGCTACTTGGAGGAATCTGTCGTGTTCTCAGTTATCATGATAGCATTGTTTTTTGCTATATTGTGCGAGATGAAATACTGCATCGCTTCTTTATAGATGGTAAATTAGCTAATTATCTGACTAACCTCCGAACTGAGTTACGTTTTCATCCAGACCGGTTGCTAAAGTGCAAAAAATGACCTTCGCTATGCACGCAATAGACGTGATTTTTATCCTGGGATGAAGTTTTTTTAGTGTCTAAATTGAGTCAAATGTGGTGTAAAAAACTGCTGTTACAATTCTAATTATGGTCCGTAGTTTGGTATCGTTCCATGCATCCACATCCACCTCTTCCTTCATTTCCTCCTCCTCCTCCTCCCCCTCCTTCTCCAAATCACGGTGTCATCGACGTTTTAACTTCGAAAACAAAGGAGATGGGATGCAATGTTAGTTATACCCCCTTTAACTATTCAACCATCATCAACGTTGCCATTAACAATATTTCGTTACTTCTTACTTTTGCTTGGTGTGCTGTTCGTCGATGACGTCTGAAAAGGGAAGCTACAGACAAAACCAGCGGGGAAAAACTCTCTAAAAATTCAAAAGCCTGGTGCACGTACAGTGTGACATACATTATGCCCCTGAGCTGTTCACCTGTTACTTTGAATGGGTTTTGTAATTGTTGTTGTTGTTGTTGTTGTTGTTGTTGTTGTTTTAGCAAGTGTTTTACTGCGCTCGCAACTGCATAAGGTCATTTAATATGAGCGCGTGGGACACACAAAAACATTTTCAGTTGGCAAGAAATTTTGAATTTTGCCCGTGTGGCGGCCGAAGTCTACTCTTATTGGTTTTGGACCACCAAGGGATCTTTAACGTGCGCACCTTGCACATATGGGACCTCCGAGATTTTTTGCCCTTGTCTGAGAAGGCTATGTGTAGATCTATCCTACCAGAAGATCAAGGGTGTGGCTGAAAGACAGCAGTAAGAACTTTGAATGTTGTTTTAGAATTAGTAAGAGTGTTACGTTAGTTTAGTAAGAGTCTAACGGCGCTCGCAACAGCGTTAGGTCATATGAGGGCGCGAAGCACAGGTTGATTGCATTCACAACAGTTCACAGCACGGTTTGATTTTGTTCAATGATTTAGGTTAAACATTAAAGGATAAAAATGTCTTGAAAGTCGTGTTATTTCATTTTAACACGCTATCCCATTACAGATGTGCGCCTACACGTCAAATAATCTTTGCTTTCAATGTATAGTATACAGTATAACGTGTTTAGTGAAACAAATATTAACAGGAAAAAATCGTATACTAACTTAGTGGGCGGTTGGCAGGTGCTTTGGTGTGGTTTGCTCCTTCTTTCCTATCTAACATTCTGCCGTCCTTATCTCCCCTCCCTCTTTCGTGTGTTTGTTACCCTCTTGAAACACCTCTTTTCTTCGGCTTTTTTCTGATCATATTGTGTTGCAAGTGCTGTATACATCTTACTAAAACATAACAACTCAAACCATGGCATGATCATTGAGCTAAAACAGAAATTTTTTTGGCTGCAAGAAAGGTTCGAGGTTATGCCCTTAAAAATAGAACGAAAACACACATCAACCCAAAAACCCTCGAAGGAACATATCCATGTAAAGGTCATGTGTTTTGTTTATAAAGGCTTACTTTCTGAATTTGGAAAAAGATAAGCCGGAAAAAGTGTTAGTGTTTGTCAAGGCATGCTTTACGTTTTGAGTTACAGGGCAAAGAAAAAAAAACTCGTCCCATAGTAAAGTGTAGTGTACTCGCCAAACGTTTGTGCAAATGTGAAAGGTCTCTGTAGTTTTCAGTTGAGTTCTTTTAGTGGGGGAATATTTGCTTTCAGTAGAACCATGTCTACATTCGTGCTCATTACCTGGTCCAGTGTATTTGAATAATGAGGCTCAGGTGTGCATGTGCCCGTGTGTCTTTCATGTCTTTCATGGCTTGTTTTGAGGTGGTTAATGTAGGACGGGTGGCGAGAAAAAGAGGGAGGGGGGGATGGAGAATGGAGAAAAAAACCGTTACGATCGAGCGGGAGAAAGAGTAAAACAGATGTAATACAACAAAGAGTGAGAAAAGAAGAAGATTTGACAGTGAGTGAGAATTAGTCAAATTAGTATTTTTGAACACATGGAGAGAGAGAGAGAGAGAGAGAGAGAGAGAGAGAGAGAGAGAGAGAGAGAGAATAGACGTTTTACTCATTTATTTATGAATCATAGGAGATAATGTTCGGGTGCTGGAATAAATATAAAGGGCGCTGCACATCGATGACCATCAATAGCATATTTTTAAAACAGTCTGCATTGATGTAATATTATTTATTTGGTATTTTTTGTATGTATATGTTTGTGCTTAAATTATGTTTTATGTAAGTATAATGTTCTTAGGTTGCAACCCAAATCGTTTCATCAAGATCAATCAAGAACAAGATAATCATTTAATCGGATTAATTTGTTCTCTATAATAAAGCCAATTTCAAAAGTTTAAATGAGACATGTAGACTGTTTTATCGGGCATTTCACATAGATTTTTCTTTCAGATCTAGGTACCCACAATATTACTGATCATGCTCTCATGGGCAGAGAAATGGAGTCTGCAAGTGGAAAATTCTATAATCTTTATTAAAAGAAGCTAGAAACTCATCCAACGTTGCGAACTTACACGTTACAGGGTAGGAAAGGTAGGAAACATATTACTGTAACATTGAAAAATTAATTTTAAAAATACTTGAACCCTCAGATTGCGGACCGTGAAATGTTAGCTATCTTGAAAACGTACAATTAATTTTCCGAACTGTGTAATTTTATCGATAGGCTATGATTATATGACAGTTTTAACCGCGCCGAAATGTAATACCGTTGTCTTAACATGTACGACAAAATTAATGTCTGCGATCTTGAAACGAACGACTTGCTGTTTTTTTTGTTTTTATTTGTTTTCTTTCGTTTCGTTTTTTGTTGTTGCTTTGTTTGTTGTTTTTTTGTTAAGCATATTGTACTTTTTAGTCATTTTTATCCAGGCAGTTCCACTTCCATCCCCCCAATCCCTACCCACCTTCTCCCGACAGTCTTAACCGAGCTTCCTTGTACTTGTAATCTGTCGTAAGTTGTACAGCAGAATGTCTGCCTCCTTGAAATTTTAGTCTTTTTTTTGTTGGTCAACCTTATCATATTTTTTCGTTTTCGTCTAT